CCCGAGTTGATGAGGTTGTGGATCGATGCAGCTGGAGCATACGAGCAGGAGAGTCTGACTGCGACTTTCCGCACTTGGCGACTGAGGTGAGCGATCGTGCGATACCTATTGACCCACAACGAAGAACCAACCGCACCTCTCGTGTGGAAACTTACTTTGGTTTCTCTGATGCAGATGTGCGATTCGTCGAGTGATTTGTACAAGGAAACGCGGGCTTTGCTTGCAACAGATCCAAAGCAACGGCCAAGCCTTTTCAGCGCCCGGAACATCGCGCAGCAGCCTGCCTTGGCCCAAGTCGGGCCAGCCATTGATGTCTTGCGCGATGCGCCCGAGCTCATTTCAGAGGTGCGTTGCTTGTGATTTTTTTTCTCTCTTCCACGAATCGTCTGATTTGAACCTATTGGGTGACTAGGTGGGTGAGCTATTGAAGCAGCTGAACACCGGTGGGCGGGGACCAGCGAATATTGCAGTGCAACGGGTAGATCGCGTGCACAACCCCGTGCTGTGGGAGCGCTACAGCGCCAAGCGACGCGAGATGTTGCATCGTATCAAAAATCAAGTGCACTATGATCAGCTCCAAACGGCCACATCGGATGCGCCCTCGGGCTCTCCAGCTCTGCTTCGCGATGCATCCTGTCAAGAGCGTCTGTTGCTCCACGGCATCGCCCCTGACACAATGTTGCGCGACAAGATTGTGCGCCTGGGCCTTGACTATCGCTTTGCCGGCAGCAGCGCTGGCCACCGATTTGGTCTCGGTGTTTACTTGGCGGACCATCCCGGCAAGGTAGGGCAGCGCTGGCTGTCAATCTCGCCTGCTTACCCAAGTGCTGTGGTGCTGACGCAATGTGCTTACACTTGATCTCAGAGTCATCAGTACGCCGGTGCCGGACCCAACGGCGAACGAATGCTCGTCATCACGCGAGCACTCCTGGGCCATGCCCATGTCCATCCATCGCCTCCTTCTGGGGCGCTGGCACCTCCGCTCCTGCCCAATGCGCCCAACAACGAGCGGTGCGTCGGACAACATCGACCATCTGTTGCATGTTGTCTCTGTCCGCCTCCTGATCTGACTGTTATGTTGCGCCGGCCATTTTACTTTTGCAGGTATGACTCGGTTGTCGCGACACCCTCTGGGCAGTTCCATGAGG